TTGTATCAGTAGAAATATTTCTACCATTTTATCTTTGTTGACCAAAGGAATATGAATTGACAGTGCCTGCAAATGTGTTTTATGAGCAATATTTTAAAAGCTTGTTTTTTTTTTAAATTTCAGTAGTGATTATCTAACCCCCAAATGTCTTTACTTTTAAAATTTATGTGTTAGTAAATTAATGGTTCTTAAGTTGAAAAATGAGTTCACTCTGTTTGCTTTAGTAGGAACAGATTCTTTTAGGTGTTTGTGTGTGTGTGTGTTCATGTTTATCTTGTTTGCTGTAAATCCCATGCAGGTTGCCTTCTTGCCTTGGTCACTAGCAAGCTCTGAGAAAACTTGGTAGAGTCTGAAGTAGCAAAAACATTTAATAACTTCTAGTTTGTTTCTCATCTGCATGAATTGTATCCTGTTGCAATTTTTTTTATCATTCTTTCTCACATTGTAATACAAGAAACCTCAAATCCTCTTTGGAAGCAGATATTATATAATTTACAAAATAATTTTTAATTGTGTGATAACTACAGAAAAGAGCATCAGAAGCCAAGTTTACTTTTGATATGTGCGAGCTATCTAAATGTGTCATGAGCTAATGAATAAGTTGTATATTTGGGGCTAAGATCAAATCTTCCAGTTTCTTAAAATCACAGCTTTCTTTTTTTTGCCATAACATTTCTCAAAAAGAAGGAAGATACTAAAAATAATAATGTATACAAATTGATAAGGTGGATGGGGGAGAGAAAATGAGCAACCCTTTCCATTCATAGATATAGAAAAGAATTTTCATTTCAGATGAGAAAAAAACATTAATAAAATATTTTATATAGAGATAACAATTTTACACAATATGGACATAACTTTCCTTTATAATTAATGTCATATTATCAAGATGCTACAAATAGAATTGCTGAAGAATATTATTAGTATTATTATTAAGCCTACTTCTCCCTGGGTACATAAACATCACAAAGGGCTCGATGCACGCATTTTGGCCCATAAAAATGCTGTAATGTGAACATAAGTTTGCTTTATGAAACTTATGGTTGACCCTCAGAGAAGCAATAATCCCTGGGAGTTCTCTCCAAAGAGTCATGAATCCTGAACCACATACTAGTCACCTCTAGAGGCCAGAGGAATTTGCTACTTGAAAAACAGAATGGAAAGTTCTCAGACTTAGCCTAATTACAAACTTTGCAACCCAAATCCACAATAACATTTGCATCTGCTTAATAAAATATATAGAACATGGTATGGTGGTTTTGAGAGCTATCATGAACCTTATCAAACACTAAGCAGCATGGGGCCCTGTCATCCTCACTTTGCAAAATATTTGAAATTAAATTCGGATTAGAAAGATGCAGAGGGATGTTGGTAATGAACATGGGCCTACTATATTTGACTTACAGGAGCAGATTGTTGTAGACAACACTTCCAAATGTAATCTTTTTTTTTCCCAAATGTAATCTTAAACAAAGATTTTAATTTTTTTTTTCTGAGAAGGTAAGATTTTATCTTCTACTTCCTGTGAGACTTTAAGCAAATTAGTCTCTTAGATATCAGTTTCCTCATTGATAAATATGGAAAATCAAAGTAGATACCTTACTGAGTTACTGTCAAGATAATACAAGTGACATCACAAGTCTTGGCACATAATAAGGGCTCAATAAACATTAATGTGCCAGGCATTCAGATAAGAAGGCAGTGCTCGTATATAACTAATTTTCAACTTCTGGTAAAGCAAAGACTTATGCTCAATAAATTAAAAAGCAAGAAAGCACTCTTCAGATGGGAACCCTGGCTCACACCCACCTCAGAGGAAGTAATTCAAATTTTTACATTTAGTATAGTGAATAGAACATGATCTTCTAAAGTAAAAACTCTCAAAATCTGATAAGTTCCAGCTAGTTTTTAAAAACTTTTAACCCCAGACAAATTTGCCCCAAGTACTTGTAGTTCTTTCTATTTTTATTTATTTTTATTGAATTATAGCCAGACAAATGGATAAAGATGTGGTAGACATATATGATGGAATATTACTCAGCCATGAAAAAGAATGAAATTCTGCTATATGCAGTGACGTGGATGGATCTAGAGAATATTATGCTTAGTGAAATAAGTCAGATAGAGAAGGACAGATAACTATATGACATCACTTATATGTGGAATCTAAAAAATAAAATAATACAAATGAAAGTGTATACAAAACAGAAACAGACTCACAGATGTAGGAAACAAACTAGTGGTTGTCAAAACAGAGAGGGCTGTAGGGAGGAGCAAATTAGGGGAGACAGAAACTACTATGTATAAAATAGATAAGCAACAAGGATATATTGTATAATACAGAGAATTACAGCCAATACTTGTAGTTCTTGATGTTTCAATATTAGTTCTCAAAAAGCTCTTAGGAAAAAGACAAGGAACAAAGAAAAGTAACTTGAAAGAATTTCAGTTTGCTTAAAAAAAGAGTTATTATCTTATAGAATGTTGATGATTTTGAAATATCTTAGAAAATCAAATGTTGGTTTCAGAAATACAATTTGAACTAAAAGAGGTAGGTCAATCAGGTAAATTTTTCTTTTGAAAATTAAGCTAAAACTCAGTTTGGTTTGTGGTCCTTTGATGTTAAGAACACTTGATTCTTTAGTGCCTATAGGTTATATTTGGAATAAACATTTCTGTTAATGTTCTGAAGTGTTAATATTTGTACCATCCTCAGATATACATGGACATGCATACACACATGTTAAATACACTGACCCTCTCCTTGGCAAGTTCATTAGCAGGTGAAGAGGGCATTTTGTGACAAGCTTGATTGAATTTAAAGTGTGGCAAAGTAGGGTAATTTTCATGCATGTGGGCTGACAAACTATTCAAGTCAGTAAGGGATTATTTACAAAGAATTGATCCAAGTGTTAGTATGTCACTGAAATTGAGGCGGGGGAAGCGCAGGGCCAAATGTATGCTAGCTTAATTCAGCCCAGCACATCTGGTTCATCACATGCTGTGTAAGAAAAATTTTAGGTGATACAAAATGAACACTGTGTTCTCTGAAAGACTAAAATTTCTGAGGAAGCTATAATCATTTTAATCAGAAGATAACCGTTAAGCAAAAATGGAATGTCTGACCTTGTATAGAAAGCCTCCATTCCATCCTGCCTCTTCTATTTCTTTGTTTTCATTTCATGATAAAATTTATGAATTGTTTTCTCTTCTTTTCTTCCTATTACATTCTTTCAAATGCTTTTCTTTCTACTAATTCTGCTCTCTCTGTATACAGTTTTCCCTCGGTATCGGGGGCAGATGGGTTCTGGGAGCTCTTGCAGATACCAAAATAGGAGGATGCCCATATCCCTAATATAAAGTGGGTCGAGCCATGAATACAGTTGGCCTTCTGTGACTGCAGGTTTCGCATCCATGGTTTAGGAAGGCTAAATGTATTATTTTCCCTTCCTTTTCTTCTTCTACTCTCCCTGTCAGACTATTTTTTAATAGAAATAAATGGTTTTCAAAAGATTCAAGTAAATAACTAACAGGGAATTAAGGATAATATCAGATTGACATTTTAGATAATGTTTTGTTTTAGAAATAACAGTAAAAATTCGCACCATGATGCAAAGAAACAAATAAAATAAACCTGGTAGCATTTCTTTTACCATATTTCAAAAAAGATTTTCATATTGTAGGAGAAGACATATGCCACTATATTCAACATAAGCTATCTCATATGTTTGAGAAACATTTTATTTATTAATGCAGAATGAAATTGTTCTTACTGCCCCTTGACTTCAGACACTATGTATTCACCTTACAAAGACCAGGGATACATCTATGAATACTCATGACTTGTTTACCAACCATGAGTATCAAATGGGGAGATCCATCCATCAAATGTAACAAAAGCTTTTTTTGGACTAGATTAAGACACAAGCCTTTCCTTAAATGGCTATGTTGAAATGTAAATTCCTAAGTTATATACTTATTTCCCATGACCTCTGCTCAAGTGAGCTTAACCTAAAATCTTTTAATAGATTAATTATTCCACTTACTCTCTATTCTTTTAAAAATATGACTCTTTCAGAAGTATCTCATTGGATACAAAATGCAGGACTTAGGTGATACATTTTCTCTAACACCTAGTACAGCCCTACAAATGTTAGAACTTGTAGCCTATTGTTCTCAGTGATGGTAAAGAGACATCATTTCTGTTACAAGGGTTTAATTGCCTTTAAGAGACATCATAAGAACTAAAAATAAAGTATCATTATCTTTGTTATTATACTCTGAGTTCTTGAGTATTCAATATATGCTTTGTCTCTGGGTCTCTTTCTAGTGCCAAAACCCTTGTTAATAGGAATTAGACCAGATTATGATTGTGTAGGGGATATCTTAATTTTACATGCTCTCTCCATCAGACAATACATGTCTATATTCATTATCTTATGTCAGTGTGTATGAATAAACCCCAGAGCTATTTAGCTCTTTGCCTTTCATCCTTAGTCTTTTGTCTTATAAACTATTATATATCTCACTGTAACGACAGTGAATTATGTTTGGCAATGTCGCCTTCTTTTATGAAAGGTGTATTTTAATTTGACATTAGAAACAACTAGCTTTAAAGATGTGACTGGCCTTCACTTCTTTTTAGATTCCTTTCGGAGATACTCTTACCACAAAAATGTGCTCTGTGGGAATTTGGCAAACTAGCTGATAATAGGATAAATCATTTTTAGTTTACCAGAGAAAGAAAATGCTTCATTATTATGTTGTTATTATTTACTATAGCAAAAAGGAAATATAATTTTAGCTAGCTATGTGCATGTGAGTCCAGATACCATTTGATAAAATGAGTTAGGTGGGGAAACTTCCACTTCTTTGTGATGACACATCAGATATGTCCTTATCTCTAAAAACATTAAGGATAAAGGAGTGATACTTTGTTTTTCCAAGTACCCTTCGAGCTAACAGAAAAAAATCTAAATTATGATATATTTATTTTCCAGGAGCCAATGAGAAAGAAATAGCCCTAATGAATGGTTTGACAGTTAATTTACATCTTCTACTGGTAAGCTGCCTTTCCCACCAGTGTTTAGTATACACTTATTTATGGAATCTGAAATTTTTCTATCTTTAATTCATGAGCATCTGAAGGTTAACTTATTTTAAAAAATGTTGTGAGGTTATTTTCCTTTCTACCAGGAAATGCTGGACCATGATAGAATGGCTTCTTCATAATCATGGGAGAGTTGACTCTTGCAAAGAGCTTTAGAATAATGAATAGCTCTTATCTCAGAATGTAAAGAGTCACAGTGGGTGAGAAGTAAAATTCCTGCAAGCACCCAAGATGATGTACAAATGCTAGCAAACAGTGAGCTTTTCAGACAGACAGTTTTTTCAATATGCTGGACTTTAGCAGGGTGGGACTATGGATTAGTATGTTTTGTTGATTAATTTGGGGGGATTAGGTTAAAAAGTAATTAGAAAATAAAACTAAATTAGAGAAGAAGGACCTAGTACCTTAGAAGAGTCACTGTGTTTCAAGTAATTCTTACATCCTAAGTACTTAATAATGTGTATACCTCACAATGTCAAATATATTCTTGATTTTAAATATGTTGCCTATAGCAATTGTTTGATGCTATGAAATATTTGTATTCCATTTTGTGATTTTTTGAAAACATGTCTACATGACACAGATGCACAATGAAGATATGATACTTATTTTAATAAAATACAGATATGATTATTAAATATGCCTGAAGGAACAAGCTTGTGGAGTATGTTAATTATGATGGTAAACAGCATAGTTTTAAGTTCAGACACCTGTGGGTTTTACCCCCAGCTGAGTTACTTAATGCCTGTTTAACTTTGGATAAGAGTTTTGGCATTTCTAAATCTTAAATTTCTCCTCTGTAAAAATGAGGACAGCGATACCTGTTTCATAGGTATGCATGAGTACAAAACACGGTAATGTATGAAAACTACTTTAGCACCCTGCCCAGCGGTCAACATCCAATTATCAGTAGCAATCATCTTCATTGTTATCACTGTCAGTCAGTATTTCTTCTCTAAGAATTACGTGGGGAAATGAAAAGGCCCCACTGAACACATGAGTTACTTCTCCCTGGTGCCTCTAGAAATGCCAAATGTTTCATTAGGGCAAAGGTACTCTCAGTTGGATCTAAAAAGAAATTTTATGAAATCATGAAATAGTGGCGATATGTGGCAATACTAGAAACCAAGTCGACACTGCAAGATAAATCAACATAAATAAGACATACATAGAACATGATATTTTAGTCTCATAAATAGAGAAATTACCATTACATGCTTTGGGAAGCTAATTTTTCAATTAAAATTTAAGTAAAGTTTAAGAATTTGTTTTTATCTGATTCACATTTTCTCCAGAATTTGCTTTCCTACTGATAAACTTAATGAGCAAATATCTTCTTCCTTTTTAGAATTCATTGGAAACAAGGCTAATTGGAAAATGTAGCCTTGATAGACACCTAGATGTGTAATTAATTAATGCCTGTAAGTGCTGGAGATTATAAAATGAAAGTGTGGCATAAAATGAACAAATGTCTAAACTGTGCATTAATGCTTTTCTCAATAAATCCATTTTATTGCAGTTATCATTTTTTAAGCCTACATCAGAACGGTATAAAATTCTCCTAGAAGCCAAAGCCTTCCCTTCAGATCATGTAAGGATTCTTCAAATTATATTTATATTTTTTCTACTCTTCCTAAAGGAGCCTATCATTTGCCTGACTTGAATGTTTATTCACTAGTCTTTTCCACATAACCTTACAGTAAAAAGATCTGTCAAGTGCTTTTGATTTATGCATTTCTTATAGGTTGCAGCTTTATTTTTTTTGTTCAAGTAAAACATGTGTTAACAGAGGAAAGAACTGAATAGAAACATTGATTTATTAGTCTTTTTAAAGATATTGAGCAAACCACTGGTCAAAATCAAGTGTAGTTGTAAATGTTTTATTAATTCTTGTTACAGTTTTATTTCATGAAATTAAATCAGTACAGACCCCAGTACTTTAACCCTTTAGCTACATAGACTAGGAATATAAACATTTATTTGTCCATTTGTTTTCACAGCACACTAGCATAATTATTGGTGCTTTATACTTAAAAAAATTTATTAAAGATTAAAAGGATTTCTTGTGGCTCAAGAAGAAGTCATGCCACTTTTTCAGCAATCTCAGTTGGTAAGAAATTTGATTGTTCCAGACAGAAACAGGTGAAGTATGTTGCAGGTTTAGTGTTACAGTTCAGTTTCAATGTTGAGGAAATTTGATTTCTGTCTTTGGTACTTAAGTATTCTAGCCCACATCTCGTAATTTTAAGGCACTTAATCCAAATTAATAGCCGTTATCTTATTAAAAAGGACCAAAACTCTAGTATCTTGAAAAAATTCAGGGTCCCTAAAATTGCTTGTTCCCATTTATGTCTTGGACTCTCAATAAAGGGAACTTTCCGATGTGCTTTTCTTTCACTGGCTTACTCTCTCCAGGGTAAGCCATTTCTGTATTCTATATTGGAGCCTAGCAAGTCTTCACTGCTCACTTTGGTTATTTTGTAAACACTATTTTGACTTGAACTAGATGATTTAATATCTTATTCTAAAAATCTCTTGTATTCCTAAAGTCTAGATAACCCCTACATTTTCATTCATTTCTTATATTTTGTGTTTCAAAGAATGTTCAGATTGCTGCATGTAAATTATATTAAGCAATTCTTCTGTGCTGCATTCTGTTTAGTCACTTTTAACCTTGACCTTGAATTTAATATAATAATATGCTTTTATTGGTATTTTATTATTTCTTTTCTGAGTTATTTCAGCGTACTTCTGTGCATTGGGCTTGACTGAATAAATCAACCTTCTTTTCCAGTACGCCATTGAGTCACAGCTTCAACTTCATGGACTTAACATTGAGAAAAGCATGCGGATTATAAAGCCAAGAGAGGTATACGAGAAGAGAAAGAAATAAATATTCATCATGCTTCTATTTAGTATTGATTTTTTTCTTCATTTTCTTCAAAAGTTTATCATCTTCATTACTTTAATGGAACTTTCAAGAAAGTATAAAAGACCTATACTCCATTACTATTAGGTCATTTTTCTTAAAGTAGATAATTAACTCAAAAGTGTATTTATTTTAAATTTTCAAGGGCTAGTCATATTATAAGCAAGTTATTTGGATATTACTACAACTAGAGTCTCCCATACTGTTCAATGGGATGGGAGGAAATGGCAAATTGCATATATAGTTTTCAATTTCAAATGCCATTGCCTGTGGGAGCCATTAAAATCATGTTAAAATCAGTGATATTTGTTGAAATTGAATGATGCCTATTTTTATGCCCCCTCTTAATCTAAGTATCAGATGTCTTTCTCTGAGCATGGAGTTGGACATACAGAAAGGGACATGGTGTAGTAGACTTTATTTAGTCTTACAACCTGGCTATTACTTCCCAGAGAAATCCCAGACCTACAGACATACTGGGGTATGTATGTAACTTTGGGATAGTTACTTTATCTCTGAGATTCCTTTGTATTTAAACAGATAACAAAGGAAACACCTAATCAGGCTCAACTGTATGTTCAAGATCTAAAATACTGTGTAGTTTACATTAATAACGATGTAAGGCTAAGTTGTACAGGTTTTGGCATATAAAACCTGCAGCTTGTGTAATCTGGTACCAAGAGATCAACATAGAATAAATTTTACATTTCACATATGTATGATGCTCCCAGGCTGTTAAGCCAGTGTTTGACCAGTTATTTCTTTCAACCAGAATTATTTGAGAAATTAAAGATCTTCTCTACTCACTTCTATTTGCCAACGTGCAATAAATTAAAGGAATGGAAAGTTCTCACAACTCTGGGATGATATCTGTTTCATGTTACATATAAATTGCTTATTTCCAAGAAAACGAATATAGCCACTAATATATCATGCATTTTTAGCTTAAAGGAGACAAGTGTTGTGGAGCCCATGATTTAATCATAGTTTGGGGGCATTCTTTACCATTACTAGATCAGAGTAGATCAACATGAGAGAGGACTGTATCCCATCATTGAGGAAAATATTTCTTATTTGCTTAATATGGAATCTTTAGAGAAGTAAAGTATTAGTACTTATAACATTTTCCTTACTCTTTTTTTTTTTAATTATGATGGACAAACTGTGTTAGCTTCCTCTAAGGAAAAATAAGTTTGAGTTTATCATGTTACTCGTTTTACTTAGAATTTTTTCTTAGAGTTACTGAAATCCTCCTCTTTATGTATAAAGTATTCATCACTTAATAATTCAAAGATTTCACTGTCAATTCCCTTTTTATAGATTACCATTTTGTAAAAACCCCTAGGCTTCTAGTAGAAGTTAGAGTATGTATTACATTTATGATACCTATTATATATGCCTAACATGGGGCACAGTAATTGGCAAATAATAAGAGTTAACAAAAATTAAAAATAATTGAAGGAAAATTCATGGGTACCTTAATGAGCTTTCCCACATATTAACGTAGTTAATGATGCTTTGACTTCAAAATCATGTTAAACACTGGAGAAAATTCATGAAGACTTCATAAATAGATCAGAATTGTTAGTGTATAAATAAATAATTTGTATTTAGCTGAGTTCTTTTTGCTCAAGTTGTTTGCAAGACCAAATCTAAATTCATTTACAAATTTAATGAACTGATCATTAGTCTTAGGCGGAAAGTTGTAGGGGAAAAGTAACCTTGATAGAATACTGAGTTTTATTGATATTTTCTTCATGTTTTAATCTTGATCTTTAGGTTGGTCTGGAGGAGATTTTACTCCTAAATTAATAGAAAATATTGGTTGGGTTACACTCAGATGAAAGATGTATATGTGTCTTTTTTTCTTGAAAAAAATATGATATTAGATTGATAAGTAAAATACTAGTTTCTAAGAAGTTTGTCTTGACAATTAGTATTTTATAGACTTTCTGTACTTCCTGATATCTTATTGGATGGGAATAAGAAGGAAATAATTTATAAGTATGTAAATAGTAAAAATTAATTGAAAAACTGAAGAATAAAATCAAGCAAGTAGGGCTTGGCAAAGACACTTTGTAAACCTCTTCTCTTTTATTATCATTTCTTAATAACAAAAAGCATGTTCAAATACTTCTCTCTCTTGCCAGATTTTCGAAGATCACTAGTATGAAAAAAATTTACCTTTGATTTTTCTTATGGTGGGAAAGATCTCACAGCGAATTTTAGATGGGAAATACAAAGCAACAAATTTGTTATTGTGAATTTTAGATGGGAAATATAAATCAACAAATTTGTTATTGTGCAAATATGTAATGGTTGTGCCTCACTTGACTTTAGGGGGAAGAAACCTTGAGAATAGAGGATATCCTGGAAGTAATTGAGAAAGAAGGTGACTCAATTGCAGTCATCCTGTTCAGTGGGCTTCAGTTTTATACTGGACAGCTCTTCAATATACCCGCCATCACAAAAGCAGGACAAGCAAAGGTATGCACATCATTTCCTCTTTCCTACCTTGTCCAAAACATCAATCTACTGAGGAGTATTCAGCTGTGCTTCTAGTAAAATATCTTTGTTTCAGTCTGTGTAAAATTATTTAAAGAGTTTCTTTTAAGCAAAAAAAAAATTATATATATATATATATATAGAGAGAGAGAGAGAGAGAGCTTTAGGCATCTCTAGTTAAGCCTCTTTTTTTCACTTCTGTGGTCTTACTTCCTTATTAGCATCTACTCTCCCAATGTTTACCTTTTTAACCAGCAGGACAAAAGAATTTCCTTTAGTTGATGTCACTGGTGCAGAGCTGCTCAGTCAGTAGGAAGCAGACAGTACTTAGGATAGTAACTACAAGCTAGAACTATTAGAAACTCAGCTCTGGTGTTTCTCATACTATAACTCATTCTAAATACAATTCATGCTCATTAGCCCTAGGTACCTGAAGAAGGAGAGATGCAGAATAAAAATGTACCTGAAGAAGGGGAGATGCAGAATAAAAGTTTATCAGTAGATTGAATTTTATTCAGTTTACTAAAGGAAACCATTTTGTGCCTAAGAATCTTGAGAAATTATTACACTGCCTATAACAAGATATCTTCCCTAAATACTATTAAATAACACATAGTGTACTAATTTTTAATAGTAACTATATATATATAGGTGCTTGTAAAAAAGTATTTTTAGTATTTGTCTACCTAAAAATAAGAAATCAGATGAACAACATTCAACAGTCACAACTTGTATTTAAAATCTTTAAATAACAGTTCTATTTGATTCAACAATCAAGTCACATATTTTAAAAGGTGACAATCGAATTATATTCTGAACATTAATAAGTTATTGGATTAATATATGTGTGAGACCTAGTTAATATATTCAGTTATTGAAGCTAATGAATGGAACTAATGAAAAGAAATTTAGCACCGTTATCAGCAGTCTCTAGGAATTTCCAACCACGAATTCCAACTAGTTTGATGGATAACTGTGAAAGTGGTGTATTACAAAATATAAAAAGATAATGTCTTCTTAATTTAGATATTAAATGTTAAGCACCCAAATAAAGGGAGGCCAACAAAATGCCATATTTTAAAATTTTATGCAAGAAATCAGAAGTCCCCTGATAGCGTTAGTATACTTGCATGCCTCATTAACCTTCATAAAAATGAGGCAGAAAGATGGAGAAGAAAGATCATAGGTTTTGTAATCACTCAATCTGTGGTTCAACTCTAGGCTAAGTCATTTAATTTTTATATGATCTGAGGCAAGTTACTTGACTTTTTTGAGTCTCTGTTTTCAAAGTGTTAATTTGGGATAACAGGACCCACTTCAGTGCTGATAATGAAGCGTATAAAATATCTACTGGATTGCACACATTCTGCTATTAAATGGTGGTTGCCTCCCACTTTCTACTGTCCTCAACAAATATAAAGTTATGGAAAGTGGCTCAAGTATACATTTTCTTTCATTTCCCATTAAAAAGCAAAATAAATTTGTTTACTTAGATAGTATATGTAATTCTCATTCTTAACTACTTTGGTTGCTAAAACCATTCTCTCAGTATTTTGCAGGTTTTCTGTCTCTTAAAAAATACAGTGCCTACCAGGTAAAACGCTCCTTGAATTTTCAGTCAAAGAAAGGAAGGTAGGAATAAGCAGTTGCAGCTAAATGCAACTGCACATTAGTGATAGATACTATGGAAGTGAAAAAGTAATCTAGCAGACTTCAATTTATCCATTATCAAAAATTCTAACATTTATACTGTTGGAGTATATATGTTGAGTATATATTATTCTCAATGGAGAAATTCAGAAAAATTCTTTAAAATGTTGACTTACATAGCTCTCTCAGGTAGCCTATAAAGATAAAGCTGAAGAGAGGAGCAAAGAGAAAATTAAAGGTGTCAATCAAGAAAGTGTTGGGAAATTCTAGGAGAACAAATGCCATAAGTAAGCCACTGTTAAGAATGCCTAAGTGAGATATAAAAGAGGAAAGTGTCCAGAAGTATGGTTGGAACCAAAAACGATGGAACAATAAAAGTCAATAAGAGTAGATTTTGAAGTGGAAACCTCAGAATCACATGAAAGGGAAGTGGGAACAGAAACTTTGAAAAATATATTAAATACATATATACCAAAAAGGGCACAAATCATAAGTGGCTTGATGAATTATTTTGAACCCTTATAACCATAACCCGCATCAAGAAACTTCTAGACTATTGATAACATTCAGAATCCTGGTTTATGCCTTCTCCCAAATACTGTCTGTTACCTCCCCTCCAAAGGTACCACTCTCCTGACTTCTAACCATATATATTAGCTTTGTCCCTCTTTGGGCTTTACATAAGTGAATTTATATTATTTTGTGTATCACTCACTTGTTCACTACTATGTTTGTGAGATCCATCCATATTGTTTGTAGCAGTAGTTTGTTTTCTTTTCACTTCAGTATATTATAATAATGTGTGAAGTAGATCTCTATTTTTTCCACTCTCATCAGAATAGAAAATTTGAGTTTTATTTCCATTTGAGGGCTTTGACAGCAAATGCTACTCTGAACATTCTTATAAAATCTCTGGATGTGCATTTATTCCAATTGCTGTTGGCTATATAGTTAGAATTGGAATTGTTAGAACATAAAGTATGTGTGTGTTAAATCCTAATCAATAATGTCAACTTTCCAAAGGTTTGTATCCGTTCGTCATATACTCCCATGTGTGAGACTTTCTGTTGCTCTATATTCTCACTAATAGTCAATTTGATTAGTTTGTAACAGTAACTTATTGTGGCTTTAATTTGCACTTCCCTCACTTTTGGTGAGGTTGAGGGTCTTTCAAATGTGTACTAGCCAACTAAGGATGTTCTTTTTTGAAATGTTTATTCAGGCATGTTGCCCAATTTTCTATTTGGTTATCTGTCTTTTGGTTGTAAGTTGTATAGAAATTGATTTTAAAGGAGAGGGAAAATACAAGATTTCCAGTGATCATCTAAGAGGGAAATTAAATTAATTAATAAAAAGAACAACTGATAGTATGGTTTTGATTCACGTAATGAATTTAAGATGTGGAGACTTTCCTTAACTGAGGAGAAGGCCTGAGATGGTGGCAAGTGTGGGAGGCTGAAGAAAATTAAACATAAGTTCAGGTTAGAGAGCCATATTCTAAGGGAAGGACAGCATGTGAAAAGAGACATCAATTTGGAGTAACATTTTCATATTACATCTTTGAATTCATCTGCTTAACTTTATACTACTGGCCAACTCATCATCTTGGAGCTCTGCCGTACTTCCCTATTTCTATATTTTGCATATTCTATCACTTGTTTCTACTAATCATGTCTTCTTATCTATCCTCGCTGAATGTTCCCCGTCATCCTTTGAATCACTGTGCCTAGAGATTTTAACCACTGCTATGATTCAGTTCTCACTGCCAAGTTACAGGATACTTCCACACTTGAAAATTGTTATTTATGACCATTTGGACTCTGTGCTCCTTGAGGTCAGTATGCCCTGGATTTTTCCCCCCATCACCCAAATGACCCTGTTGTTTCCTGCCACCATCCTCCTAGACCTGTGGACTCTGACATTTTCCTGTTCTTTACTTTTTCAACCAGTTACTTCTTCACCTACCCTATCAGGGTTGGTCTTTCCTTTAAAATTCCTGAATTAATTATGAAGTTTTCAGCTGCAAGAAGCAAAGTTCCAGACCAAAAAAAAAGCCAAAAATTATAGAGATTTCTTTTTCTCACCACAGAAGACTTGAGGCAGAAGGCTGCTGCAATGCCACTGAGTAAAATCTGAGTGACAACGCCAGGGCTCTCTTAGATATTTTTCTCAGTCTTCTCACATCAGGGTCACAAAGAGAGTTTTCCCAAATCCAGATATCACAATTCTATTTAGGGCAGAGAGAAGGGAGAAGAGAGAAGTAGCAGTATGGTTCATTTGTCCCTTTCAGCCAAAGTGCAAAGTCTTTCTCAGAAAAACCTAGCAGATTCCTGCCTATGATTCATTGACTTCTAAAGTGGCAGCTTCAAAGAGTATGAGTAAATACTCTACATTTAAATTTACTAAGTAAAATTCATTTTTAGTTTTTATGGCCCTATAGTAGAAAGAGGCTAAGAAGAGGGGTTGGGAACAGGTTTAGGCTAACTAACCCACAGTACTTGCATTTCCTAATTACACCCCCGTGGGGCAGTATTGTTTCTAATCTGTTTCCATCTTTTCTCATTTATTCCTTCTTATTTCTCCTTTTATCCCCTTCCTTCCTTTTTTCCTTTTCTTCTTTCATTGTTTTCTTTTTCAGTTCATTTCACAAAGAATTTGAAAAAAATTCATGGAAAATTGATTAGGCAACATAATGAAATATAAAGAGAGAGAAATAAAGAGATAATCTCGGTCATCTGGAGAAATGAACACACTCCCCACAAATCATAGTTTCTCAACTTGGATTATGATAAGAAATAGAAATTTTTTTTCAATGAAATTTCTTGATGTGTTAGGTAGACTAAGTCTTGGTAACAAATAAATAGATCCATAAATGGCTTCATTGTGATAGATGTTTATTTCTTGCTCGTGCAGCAGCCAGGGATCAGCTTTCTCCTGTGCAATGATTCGGGTTACCAGTATTTCACAATTGTATCCTATGGCTTTCATACCCGAGAACCTGTGTCACTGTTCAGCCAAAGGAATGGGATAATGGGATCTGAAAGGACATATTAACATCTTAAAAGCATTAGCTTAACAATGGAAAAACTTACTTCCAGTTATATTCCATTGACTAACATATGGTCATTTCTGGAAAATGAAGTATATTTGTGTGCTCAGGAAGAACAGCTATTAGTCCTGCCACCCCTGGAATTCAGGTGTTTTGTGTTGCTGATGGAGCAGGATACCTCCTCTGAAATTCAGTGTAGCATTTGCATTAATAACATGTGTAGACAGTGAAGACAGAGCCAGACTTGGTCTTGAATACATGTCTCTCAGTAAGTTTCTGACAT